TGCTGACTCTGACTGCTTCCTGCAATGTAGCTGCCTCGGGGAAGTCAGACTTCTTGCAGGTTGGCTCAGGGCTTCAAAGGCAAATGCTCCAAGAGAAGCAGGTGGCAGCTGTTTGGTCCAGTCCCACATATCCCCATGCTTGCATTCCTAGCAGACACCTCAGGCCTCTTTCCACAGAGTGCACATCCCCCTCCTCTAGACACTCTCTATGGGGTGACATAGAGGCACTTCTGACATATGCTATCTGTCGGAGCAGCCAAGGGGAGGAAGCACAGACCTCATCTTTTTTTTTAAAGATTTTATTTATTTGTTCATAATAGACACACACACACACACACACACACACACAGAGGCAGAGACACAGGCAGAGGGAGAAGTAGGCTCCATGCAGAGAGCCCGATGTGGGACACATCCATGGTCTCCAGGATCACACCCTGGGCTGGGCTGCAGGCGGCGCCAAACCGCTGTGCCACAGGGGCTGCCCCAGACCTCATCTTTCGATTGAAGAACTATCAACAAACTCATGGACATGCATAGATATTAAGGCCATTTCCAAGGTTTTTAGGGGAAGAAGTCATACTTTGATGAGAGTCCATGTGTAGAAATCTTTGTGCACATCTCTGACTAGACCATTTCTGCAATTGCTTGTAGCATTGTAATAGAGTACAAAGTAAAGTCAGTGGGAAGGCAGGGGCAAGAGCTCCAGACCAGAGTCCCTGCAGCCTCTACTGTCACATATTTCAAAATGTCCTTGTCCTTACTTTAAGTTCACTTGTCCCCTCAACCTAAGTGTGTCAACAGTTCCTTCTTTTCCCAGACTCACTCTGCTGCCACTACTGTCAGGAGGGTCTTTCTCTCCTCCGGGGTCCCCCCCCCACCCTCAACTCTGGACTCAGCATCTCGGCCGCTGGGGCAGCACAGGAACCAGCTCTGCAGCCCCTGCAGCACCAGTGCGGCGTTGGTGGATGACAGCCAGTGCTTCCTGAATAAGCTTATTTGCTTACTCACCAAGGATTTATTGCATGCTTTGTAAGGGTGGGCAGGATTTGTTTTAACTGGGTGTGGTAAGTCATGCAAACGTGGAAGTGACTATCATGAAGAAAGAAGTTTGTAAGTCTCACAACTCCCCTCAAACAAGAGGCAGATGCTCACGGAGAGCCCCATGGGTCGACCAGGAGGCAGAGGGGGCAAGGAGAAAATGTGGGAAGGAGACTTTACTATGGTTTCCATGAGAAAGAGTGGGTGAGGCAGGGTAAGCAGGTTTAGGGTTGGCTGATTTGAATAATTTCAGCGGGCTCTGGGGCATAGAGCCTGTCCCTACTTGTCTGGTACCTGGCCCCTGGCGGGATTAGGGCAGGGGGAGAGTGGCCCACAGTGAGCCCCATAAAGGAGGTAGTTGAGGGTGTGGGCTCTGAATTGGTTGGTTTGCTTTTGAAAGTCCCACCCCTGAGTCCCTTGTTTACTGTCTCCAGAGAGTGGATGGGGCCTCAGGTCCAAGCACTGATACACAATGAATGATACATGATGAACAGAACTAAAGTCCCTGGTTCTTGGAGTCCTCACGTTCCAGTAGAGGAAGTCTGCAATAAATAAGCAAACAAATGCGAACATTCAGTGACAAGAAATGAAACAGGATCAAGTGATTAAAAAAGAGACTGAGGATTATTCCAGAGAAGGTGATCAGGGAAGGCTCCTCTGAGGAGGTAATATTTGAGTTGAGGTCTGAGTGGGGAGGAGCAGCCAGCCACACAAAGGCCCAGGGGAAGAGAATTCCATGCAGAGAGCGCCCCAAGTGCACCGATCTTGGGGGTGGCGACCAGAGAGGTGTGCATGGAACCCCGATGAGACCAGCACATCTAGCTGCAGCGGAGTAAGGGATGGGGTTAGGGGAGCAAGGTCACACAGTAGGCCCAGTGAGGATGAGTTTGGATTTTATTCTTGGTGTGAAGGGAAGCTGCCAGAAGTGTCCTAAGCAGGAAAGTGGTTTAGCCTGACGTGGTTTTAAGAGCTCACTCTAGGGCACCTGAGTGGCTCAGTGGCTGAGCGTCTACTAATGGCTTAGGTAGTGATACCTGGGATCCTGGGATCAAGTCCCCTGCAGGGAGCCTGCTTTTCCCTCTGCCTGTGCCTGTGTCTTTCATGAGTAAATAAATAAAATCTTTAAAAATTTTAAAAATAAAAGCTCACTCTGGCTGCCATATGGAGATCGGATGGCAGGAGGGGCAAATGCAGAATCTCAGAGATAAGCCAGGAGGTGGTGCCCAGGTAAGAGATGGCTGAGCGGCCAGAGGAAAGTGCACAGGTTGGAGGTAGGTGGATGTGGGAGCAATTGATGAATGTTAGACCTGATAGGCCATCCAAATCACTGAGGGAGTTAAACACACTCAGAGGCTTCTAAGACCCCACCTTTGTTGCACCTCGATGCCCAAGCTGGGGCTCAGGAATCCATATTCCTTTTTTTTAAAGGTTTTATTTATTTATTCATGAGAGACACAGAGAAAGAGGCAGAGATATAGGCAGAGGGAGAAGCAGGCTCCCTGCAAGGAGCCTGATGCAGGACTCGATCCTGGATCCCGGGATCACTCCCTGAGCTAAAGGCAGATGCTCAACCACTGAGCCACCCAGGCGTCCCAGGAATCCGTATTCCTAATAAGCTCGTCTGGGATGTGCACTCTGTATCCAGGTACCCATTTATCCACATGGCATAAAGGGGCAAGTGTAATGCAGAGAGAGCAGCACTGGTGGGGAGTCTTGGGTGCCAGTCCCAACTGCAGATCTGTTGTGGGACTCAGAGATTCCAAGGGACCATCAGGAATAGCAGTTCCTACCTCCAAGATGGGCCAAGCATGAGGAATAAGTAACGTGTTTGTAGAGCATTCACCAACAAACAAGGCCCTTGAGAAGTGTTTGGTAAATGGTGCAGGGTTTGGGGTAAAGCAGGTGCAGTGGGAAGGAACACTGGCCTTGCCACCAACTGCTGTGTGAATTTTAATTTTCTTTGGCCCTTAGTTTCTTCCTCTGTAAAGAGGTATCTGCAGTGGACTAAACGGTCACTCCTAAGTTCGTGTGTTGAAATCTAACCCCCAAGTTAATAGTATGAGGGGGTGGGACCTTTGGGAGCTGATGAGGTCACCAGGGTGGAGCCCTTGTGAAAGGAATTAGTGCCTTATAAAAGATACGCTGGAGACTCTCCACCCTTTCTGGGCCATATGAGGAAACAGTGAGAAGTCAGTTGTCTGTGAAGCAGAAAGCCAGCTCGACAGACACTGAATCAGCCACTCTATAGTAGACAGTATTCATAATCCCAACGCTGTGACAGACCCCATAAACGTGGGTGCTGTGAGGATGGGAGGGGCTGAGGTTATGTCCATCTCTCCTGGGATGAAAGTGGATGATGTCAAGAGTACCCTACTCTTAGTCTAGGGACACTCCCAGGCCTAGCTCCCTAGCGGGCTGGGTTACCTTGGCTCACAGGACACTACTGCCCTCTTATGGCGGAGGCCAGACTCAACAGATGGACCTTCTCACCCTTCTGTAGTTCTCTTCCTCCAGGCAAGCGTCTGGTATGTGCATGCCCCATGGGGCTCCAGAATTTATATCGTTTACTGCCTTGCAGGATTGACAGGTGTATTTGGGAGCTTTGCTTAGAAAGAAATGTTGGGGTAGCCCAGGTGGCTCAGCGGTTTGGTGCCGCCTTCGGCCCAGGGCGTGATCCTGGAGACGTGGGATCGAGTCCCACATCAGGCTCCCTGAATGGAGCCTGCTTCTCCCTCTGCCTGTGTCTCTGCCTCTCTCTCTCTTTCTCTGTATCTGTCATGAATAAATAAATAAAATCTTTAAAAAAATAAAGAAATGTTGTCTATTTGGAGACTAATGAAGCAACTGGTCTGATGGATCTTCAGGAGGCAGTGGACCTGATTTACTGAGCATAGTGTGTGTGGCTGATGCAAGTTATTTAATCCTCTTAAGGGTCTTTGTGCATAAAGAATCATCAGCTCCAATTCCCTGGGGTCGAAACGCAGTTTGTTGTGGATGCTATGAACCATGTAGGACAAGGAGAAGGGGTAGGGTAGTGGGAAGCAGGGAGAAGGAGGAGGCAAATGCTCCTATTGAACAGGACACGGAGATAAAGCCACATATTCACCCTATAAAATATACCCGCCTTGCAAGCTTTGTATATTTTCTTAGGCGGTTTTCTTTTTAAGTCAGAGTAAATCAGCTCATTCAAAAGCAGTTACTAAGAACAGAACCAGGGATCCCTGGGTGGCACGGCGGTTTGGCGCCTGCCTTTGGCCCAGGGCGCGATCCTGGAGACCCGGGATAGAATCCCACATCGGGCTCCCGGTGCATGGAGCCTGCTTCTCCCTCTGCCTGTGTCTCTGCCTCTCTCTCTCTCTCTCTCTGTGTGTGTAACTATCATAAATAAATAAAAAAATTAAAAAAAAAAAAAAAGAACAGAACCAGCATCTGGAGTACTGTTTGGGGGTAGAGGTGGATGGTTGGTGCTGAAGGAGCACCCACGAGGAGGCAGTAATGCAGTATACTGGGGCTACTAGGAACAGTATGAAAAGGACCTCTTTTTTCTTTCCAATGAGTGTTTTCTGTAGATGCCATCCCCAGTCTCCCGAGCTCTCTCATACCGAAGAATCACATTTTAGCAACTTAGAGTTGGAAGGTAACTCACAGGCCCATTTCTCAATTACCTCTAACCCGTAAACGATGAATAGGATGATGATTACGGAGAGATTTTTGGTGAAAAAAAATCGAACGCTCCGAAACCTGATATTTCATTGATCTATAGGTGGAGCCTTGCCAATAGTAAAAATGGTAACTTGGCTCCCTCATTCCCTTCATGTTAACCTAATGGTTGCCAAGAGTAAACATGGCCACCGAACTGTGCGTTCCCATTGGCGGCCGCTCTGAGACCCGCGCGACGGCCGGGAATTGCGGAGCCGGATGTCGCGATTCCAGGCCGAACTGCGCCTGCGCCATTCTTTGGCGCCAAGATGGCGATGGAGATGAGGCTTCCCGTTGCTCGCAAGCCTCTTAGCGAGAGCGTGGGCCGCGATACTAAGAAACATCTGGTGGTTCCGGGGGACACGATCACCACGGACACGGGATTCATGCGGTACGTGGGGACTTGGGGACTCGGGGCCCCAAAGGGCAGCTGCTGGGCTCTCTGCACGTGGCCTCTGTTCCCTTACATCTGAGCACCCGCGGGACGCAGGGCACAGTTGAGCATTCCCGCCCCCATGTTTGCAAGGCCTCGGGCTTCTTACTCTGCGCACCTTGTGTGTCTCCGTCTCCGTTTGCCTCAGTCCTTGGTAGCCCTTCTGTCCCGACCACTGGTGTCAAGGACTCCTGGGTTCTCTGCCTGAGGCCCCGATCGCCTTCTTCGTTGGAAATCTGCAGAACTGGGGAAGGTTAGGAGCAGGGGCCTCTTTCCAGTGTTCAGATGAGGGACCAGTGGGCATTCCTGACCCGGCCTCTTCTCTCGGCATCTGTTAGCCAGGTGCTCGGTTTTGAAAGCAGTAATTGTTTGGGCGTAGGGCATACACAATATATTGTGCTACATGCACCCAAATCTACACTTTGAATCTGAAGGCAGTACAATATGTGTAGTTGAGAGTGCAGGCTCTTGAGCCAGACAGTTGGGGTTCCAGCCCTGTACCGTCACATATTTATAAGCTAAGTTGTATTTCCTCTCCGAGGTCAGTTTCCTCATATGTATTATCACTGTGATAATAACAGTGACTATTTGATAAGGAAGTGAGGATTAAATGAGGAGATAATTTAAGAAAAGAAGCGTCTCAGTCGGTTAAGTGTCTGACTCTTTTTTTTTTTTTAATTTTCTTTATTTATTTATGATAGTCACAGAGAGAGAGAGAGAGAGAGAGGCAGAGAGAGAGGCAGAGACACAGGCAGAGGGAGAAGCAGGCTCCACGCACCGGGAGCCCGATGTGGGATCCGATCCCGGGTCTCCAGGATCGTGCCCTGGGCCAAAGGCAGGCGCCAAACCGCTGCGCCACCCAGGGATCCCCAGTGTCTGACTCTTGATTTTGGCTCAGGTGTGATCTCAGCGTCCTGAGATGGAGCCTCTGCGTCCCCCCCCCCCCCCCGCGCTTGAGATTCTCTCTCCATCTCTCCCCCTCCTTTTTCTTTCTCTTAAAAACAAAAAAAGAAGCAAAACTCACCATTATAGGTAAACACTAGTGATATTTCAGTCTTTGGGTGGGGGGAGGGGTGTTACAGCATTTAAAACATTGGTCTTGAACCTTTTAGTTTGAGGTTATTGGATCCTAAGGAATCTTAAGTGTTCTTCATTCATGAATGAAGTATGTTTGTCTTCTGTGCAGTTGGAGCACGACTGTGACCAAAGTAGAACTCTCTCATGTTATATATATTTTGATACAGATAAACAGTAAGCACCAGTTAGCACGACAAATAAGTTAGTATGTTTGGTGATAAATTCAGTGGGGAAAATGGAAAGTTGAGCAGGGTAGGTGGAATGTGGTTGGAAATATTGTGGAGGAGGTGGCAGTGGGGTGGGTAACTATTATAAATGACTTAAAAAAGTCAGATAGGCCAGATGGAGAAAGTGACATTTCAGTAGACTTGAGTAGGACAAGGGAGATGTCTGTGCAGCTCTTTAAAGAAGGAGTGTTCTGGGTAGAGAGACAAACCGGGCTTTAAAGGCAGGAGGAGCCTGTTAAGAACATATTGTTCTTGGGGGGACGCCTGGGTGGCTCAGCAGTTGAGCATCTGCCTTTGGCTCAGGTCATGGTCCCGGGTCCTGGGATCAAGTGCCGCATTAGGTTCCCCATGGGGAGCGTGCTCCTCCCTCTGCCTGTGTCTCTGCCTCTCATTGTCTCTCATGAATAAAGAAATAAAATCTTAAAAAAAAATATTATTCTTGGGGGGAGAGGTCAACTCTTACCATCGTATACTTTGTATCCTACTCTCAAAACAGGGGCCATGGAACTTACATGGGGGAAGAGAAGCTCATTGCATCTGTGGCTGGCTCAGTGGAGAGGGTAAACAAGTTGATATGTGTGAAAGCTTTGAAAACCAGGTGAGAACAAAAGGTGTGTATTCTCTTTCTTGCGCCATTCAGGTTACCAGCCAGGTCTTTTCTGCCACAAAATACCCCTTACCCCCACCTGCTTTATTATTTAGCAGGTCTGTGATTTTGAACGTGACTATATAGAAAGGGTATAGGTGACTGTAGTTAAGTGTGGGCCTCCAAGGATCCCCACATTACTTGACCTCTCTAAACCTTGGTTACTTACCTCCTCTGCAAATTGAGGGTAATAGCATGATCTACCTTGTAGGATTTTCACTAGAATTCATTGAAATAGGACATGTAAAGTACTTAGCTCAGGGCCTACTACCTAGAAGGGCTCAATAAAGGTTAGCTCCAGAAAGGAAGCCGGTGGGTTTGGAACCTTGTGAGCAAGGGTGGGGGAATGTAGGAGAAGATGCAGGTAGAGAGCCGAGGTGGGCAGACAGCCTGCCTTGTAGCACAGATAGGCATTTTCTTTTTTTTTTTTTTTCCACAGATAGGCATTTTGACTTCCACTTTATGTAGTCTGAGATGCCACTGGGAGGGTGGAACAGAAGAGGGACATGGTCTGAATTTCTGTCTTAATAAATTCACTCTGGCTGCTGGGAGAGATTGAGGGGGAACACATGCTTGGAGAGACGATTAATGGACTGTTTTTATCATCTGAAGTGATGGTGGCTTGGACTAAGGTAGCAGTAGAAGTGGGGAGTAATGGCGGATTCTGCATACATTTTGTGTTCTGAGTTTTTTTGTTTTGCCCCCCCCCCCTTTTTTTTAAATCATGTAAGGGTATTGGGTTTAGTATTCTTTGGGATTTTCCATATATTGGACCATGTGTATGAATAGACATAGTTTTACTTCTTCCTTTCCCAGTTTGGATGCCTTTTATTTCTGTGTATATTTCAAAGGTGGAGCCAGTGGGATTAGCTGCTAGATGTGTCCTGGAACATGAGAGAGAGAGAGAGAGAGAGAGAGATATGGAAAGGGAGGGAAATCAAGTATCCCTCCAAAGACTCCCAAGATTTTTGGCTTGAGCAACTTGAAGAATGGTGTTGCCGTTTATTGAGGCTTCACTGGCTGAGCAGGGGCTGCTGGAAAGCTTTGCTTTAGATTGGTGACATTCAGAAATGCTTATTAGTCAGGTAAATAGAGATGCTAGGTAGCCAGCAGTTGACTAGACTGCAATTCAGGAGAATGGCATAGTCCTCAGTGGTATTTAAAGTCATTACTTTGGATGAGCTCACCAAGAGGTGAGCGTGGGCCAACAGAGAAGAGGTTCACAGCATGGAACACCTCATCATTAGAATTGGGATAAGGAACTAGCACAGGGATGGGAGTGACAACCCTGTGGCTGGTGGAGACCTGAGTGGACTGGTTTGGGTGGGGTCCTGTCTCAGTCTCCTTTGCTGATACAGAAGCCATCTGTGTTCCAGAGCCCACTAGGAAATATTCCACACGTACTGGTGTTATGTAATTAACAAAATAGGGGTTTCAGCCTTAACGAACTACTTGGAATAAATGGTTTGTCCAAAATAGTTAATGGAGACTATTCCTACATGTAGGAATGTTTGAAGTTACAAGTTCCTAGAAGTAAGTCAGAAAAGCACAGTTATGTGAATTTACCATACTTCATATTAGTGCCTAATCCAGGCCCTCATGCTGTTGAACTGAAATCTCCAGTGGTGCTTAGTCTTGTAATAAGGTCTCTTCACTGATGGATGACTTGTTTTATCTTTCAGATATAATGGTGAAGTAGGAGACATTGTGGTGGGGAGAATCACAGAGGTAAAGTTGGTATCAGATTGGTTTTTACAAAGTAAAAGCAAGCTGGTGATTGAGTGGGATAGTCACTCTCTGTAGTTACGCAAATGGGGCACTCATTGCATTTGACTCTTATGTGCCTCCCCCTTTTTAAAAGTTTTATTTATTACTTAAGAGAGAGAAAGAGAGCACACTGCTCCAAAGTTGAGCACAAGCAGGAGTAGGGGCAGAAGGAGAGGGAGAAGCAGACTCCCGCTGAGCAGAGAGCCAGACGTAGGGTTCCTTGATCTCAGGACTTTGGGATCATGACCTGAGCTAAAGGCAGACGCTTAACTGACTGAACCACCCAGGTGCCTCTTATGTGCCCTTTGATGTAAACAGTTGGTGTGTTGTATTGGGGATTATTGGTCACTTGCAATGTGAGTTCTTGCCCCTGGAGTCTGTGTCCAATTGTGAAATTTCTCTGTAGGTTCAACAGAAGAGGTGGAAGGTGGAGACCAATTCTAGGCTGGATTCAGTCTTGCTCCTGTCATCCATGAACCTTCCTGGAGGAGAGCTGGTACGGGTCTCCAGGCTGGTATTACATAGTGTGCTAGCAAAAGCTCTGGGGTCTCTTGCTCCACTAGGGAGCTCTTGCTTTATGCTGAGGTTGCCTCTTTTTTTTTTTTTTTTAAGAGTTTATTTATTTATTTATTCATGAGAGGACGGACACACACACACACAGAGAGAGAGAGAGAGAGAGAGAGAGAGAGAGGCAGAGATACAGGCAGAGGGAGAAGCAGGCTCCATGCAGGGAGCCTGACGTGGGACTCGATCCTGGGACTCCAGGATCATGCCGTGGGCCGAAGGTAGGCGCTAAACCGCTGAGTCACCCAGGGATCCCGAGGTTGCCTCTTTTGCTTGTGTTTATTTCCTGTGAGATTTGCTGCCTGGAGGTACATGTAGGCTTTTCACTTGGCCCAGGCCTTCCAACATAAGCAGCAGTTGCTATGTGGTAGGATCTGGAACAGCCTTGGGGAGTGAGCCCAAAAGAGAGAAGAGAGGCTCTCAGATGCTTGGGGCTCATTTTCCTTTTCTGGGTGTATCAGCTTTGCATGGTGAAGGTGTTCCTTGAAAAGTTGTGTTTAGATTAGCTTCTTATAAATTGAGTGGCATTTGGTTATTCCAGACAACTGCAGTACCTAAGTGGTGGTCTTTTGTAAAATGCTGTGGTTTCTCTTCAGTCCAGCATGTATGTTCAGAGGGGCTCACTGTGCTAGGTTCTCTGGAGAATGCAAGATAAAGGAGGCTCAGCTCAGTTCCTCAAAGTGCACAGATTAGCAGGGGAAGCGAGATAACTGATCTAAATACCTGGCAGTCAAAGAATAAACAAGTGTCTGTACAAAAGGAGTGAGTGATTTCACTAGGAGATGCTTGTATGAAATAGGGGCCTTAGAATTGATCCCTGAAGAATGAATGGAATTTCACAGGGAATGTGTGAGTAAAGATAGAGTCAAGCCAGAGCTAGTCTGGTCCTGCTGGAGCATGGAGGGCTGCCACAGGAGGTGAGTGTGAGAACGGAGGCTGGGCAGGATTGGGAGGGTTTTCAGTAGCATGAAAGGAGTGGGAATACTGTCCAGAGAAGGGGGGGCGGGGAGGAAAGAGTGGAGGAGCTGTGGGAAGGCCTGTAAAATGGAAAGTAGTGGTGATTGCTCTGGTTTTCCTTGAGTGACACTGTTTACCTACTATAGTGTCTGAGTACTATGGCTGGCCCCAAAGATCTCAAGAGGAATTGAAAAAGAAGAGGAGAGAGATTGTTCTGCAGGATCTGACTTAAGTCATGTCATCTCTGTGTGTTTCAGAGGAGAAGATCTGCAGAAGACGAGCTGGCAATGAGAGGTTTCTTGCAGGAAGGGGACCTCATCAGTGTATCCTGCAGCTGCCTTACAGCATCTCGTTTTGTGTGAAGCTGGGAGATGGGGCTTCTGGCGTATGTCTCCGACTGGAGACCGATAGTCCTAGTGGGGATCTGGCTCCTAGATCAAGTGTCATGGGCTCTGCTGCAGCCTTTCTCCATCTCCTTCACCCAGCTGGGCTCTTTAGCCCTTGTTCAGACCTGTTGCCTTGGTCATTTCTTTGGGGTTGTTCCTCATGGTGGCCTGTGCTTTAAGTTAGACTCAACTTTTCTTAACCATGTTAGCTTTTATCCAGGGAGTAGAAGAGGTATTATGTCAAGATATGTAAGAGAACTAAGGGGGAGAGGTTAGGTCGCAGTGATGTCCTCTGGGTCTGTCTAAGGCTGCGAGTGGGGCTGTTGGGGATGGGAGAAAAGGATGGAGAGGTGAGGCCAAGGGCCCAGGGAAGGCAGGAGCCATGAGAGTATTGTTCCTTTATTAGTCTGGCCAGGCCGAGGTACAGGCGGTGTTTTCTGATGGCGCGGTCTCTCTGCACACAAGGAGTCTGAAATACGGAAAAGTAAGTTGGGCTCTTGCTCTTCCTGGATGCTGAACTGAGACTTGAAACCCTTTTCTGAATCCCCAGTGCTCTCTGGAGTTTGGCCCTAAAGAGCCCTGGAAGTTAAGCATTATGGGTTGGCATCCCACAAACTGGGTGGTTCACATGGTCATGGGTCAGTAGCATTGTAATGGGTGACAACTTCTGTTCTCACAGAGATTGTTGTGGCAGAAGAGCTCCTAGGACCATGGGCTCTGCAGCTCTTCTGTCTCTGCTTGCTCCCAGGGGCATTGCAGCTTTGTAATGGGGCAGGGCTAAGAGGCTGTACTAGGAGCAAAACCTGACGGCCTTGGCTCTAGCCAAATGTCCAGTCAATAAAATGGATGTCATTACTGGGAAAGATTGGTTTGCCGCTTGAGCTTAAATGAAATGTCACTGCTTTCTTGTATGAAGTTACATTGAGGCTCTTGCTGTTTTAATGACCGCATACTTCTTTTAAAGATTCACTTATTTTAGCAAGAGAGCATGCAAGTGGCGGGGGGGTGGGGGTGGGCGCAGAGGGATAGAGAGACAGACTCCTTGATGAGCACGGATCCCACAAACCCGAGATCATGACCTGAGCCAAAACCAAGAGCCAGGTGCCGAACCGACTGAGCCACCCCAAAGTCCCACGATACCATATTTTCTAAAACAGATTATGATTTATTAGTCTTTTGGCTTTATGTGGGCGAACCTTTTCATTTCCTGATTGGCACAGAAGCGTGTTTCCTTGTGGAGTGGCTACAGTCACCACACTCACAGCCTTGGAGCAGGAGGTGGAACAGCTGTGCTGTCTTCGCTCACCCTCACAGGCCTGGGTACTGCAGACCCTCCCTCAGCGGGCTGGGGACTTGAGCTGCCCTCCCAGGATCAGGGATGGTTTTGCATCCAGCCCTTGGCCACTCCCCTTGCCCAGTGGCACATAGCACACATCTCAAAGGCACAGTAGGTGACTGGGATAGAGGTGGAACAGAACAGCGCACCTTGGCTCACAAGAGGCTTGGACTCATCCTCATGAGCTCCAGCTTCTTCGACTACCAGCACACCAAGCCCAGATTCGAATATAATGCTAAGGGCAGAAGAATGAGAGGGGAGTATTGAAAGTCACCTTCTGTTGGAGTGCATAAATCACCTCTGCATTCGGAAGTGTTCTCTGGGAGTAATTAACAGTGTGTGTACACCCGGGACTGCAGTCATTAATAGGAGTGGCCCTAGTCCTGCCATAACTAGGATGTGTGTTCTGTGGTTTGCTTTTCATGCACTTCACTGATAACCCTTCAGTGACTCGGTTTGTGCCCTCTTTCTTTAGCTGGGCCAGGGAGTTTTGGTCCAGGTTTCCCCCTCCCTAGTGAAACGGCAGAAGACTCACTTCCATGACTTGCCCTGTGGTGCCTCGGTGATTCTGGGTAACAATGGCTTCATCTGGATCTACCCCACACCTGAGCACAAGGAAGAAGACACAGGGGGCTTCACAGCACACCTGGAGGTGAGTGAGCATTGCCGCTGGTCTCTGTACATTTGGGCTCGGTAGGGCTGGCTGTTTGAATTTTTTTATTTTTTAAAGATTATTTATTTGAGAGGGAGAGCGCATGCACAAGTGGAGGGAGGGACAGAGGGAGAGAGAATCTCAAGCAGACTCCGTGATGAGTGCAGAGCCTGACGTGCGGCTCTGTCCCTTGACTCTGGGATCATGACCTGAGCTGACACCTTAAGAGCTGGACACTTAACCAACTGAGCCACCCAGGCACCCCCATAGTTGGTTGTTTTAAACCATGTATGTGCTGTAGTCTGGGTTTGAGTCTCCGTTGAGGTGTCTTCATAGCATGATCTGGCCTTCTCTCCTGAAGGGATAAAATGGAACTGGCTTGATCTCTGTTGGCAGAGGTGGCAGGTTGCAGGGTAATAGCAGCTGAAGAGCCATCCTTTTTAATCTCCCTTGGAGTTAGCAGTTGATTGGTTTGGAGTCCCGGAGGGATCGAGCTGAAGTTATAAACGATGTCTGTGATTTGCTGTGACTGTTCACGGACTTCAGTTCTAATTGTTTACCTTTGCCTCCCCACTGGTAGCCCATCTCCCTCGCTGACCGAGAGGTGATCTCCCGGCTCCGGAACTGCATCGTCTCGCTGGTCACTCAGAGGATGATGCTGTATGATACCAGCATCCTGTATTGCTACGAGGCGTCCCTTCCACATCAGGTACTCCATCCAGCCACGCCTTCCCTTGTTTTCATGGATCTGTAAGTTGACAGTGAGAGTTTATGCTCCCTCAGGGATTGTAGGCACATCTCCCAGATACCTTCACCATGTCCAGCGGTAGGAACTGATCTGCTGGACAGCCCTATCAAGTGTCTGGTAGATCTTTCCCCAAGATACTTGTACTATTCCGGGTGTCTAGTGTCAGTCTAAGGATTTGGGGCTCTGCGCTCAGCACAGAGCCTGCTTGGAATTCTCCATCCTTCTCTCTCTGCCCCTTTTCCCCACTTGTGCATTCTCTCTCATTCTCTAAAATAAATAAATCTTTATTTTTTAATTTTTTTTTACTTTTTTTTTTTTTTTAAATTTTTATTTATGATAGTCACACAGGGAGAGAGAGGCAGAGACCTAGGCAGAGGGAGAAGCAGGCTCCATGCACCGGGAGCCCGACATGGGACTCGATCCAGGGTCCCCAGGATCACGCCCTGGGCCAAAGGCAGGCGCCAAACCGATGCGCCACCCTGGGATCCCTATTTTTTTTTTAATAAATAAATCTTTAAAAGAAAATGAAAGGGATATAGAAGGTTTATGGTAACCATGCTTGGTTTCTGCCTTTGGATTGGCTTGATGCTTATGGTTGGTGTCTTTTCTGAACAAATACTTTTTTCTTTTCTTTTTTAGATCAAAGACCTCTTAAAGCCAGAAATAATGGAGGAAGTTGTTATGGAAACACGCCAGAGGCTTTTAGAACAAGAAGGGTGAGGAGAGACATCTGAAGGACCTGACAGTGTACACCTGATCGGAGCAGTTCTTGAAAGTGAAGAATCTGATCTGTGGTCCCATATGTGGCTCTGTGGAGAGTTGTGACACTCATCACTTGACCTACATCAGGCTGCCGCTGGTCCAAAGACCTCCTTTTAGCTATTCTAGGGCAAAGCCTGGGGGAAGTGCTACCAGCCCCTTGGGTTGCCCACAGAGTCCAGCACTAAGGGTAGTTTCAGGCCTTTATTTTTATTTTTCAAAGTTTTGTTATTATTATTCCTTTTTTTTTTTTTTTTTTTTAACTTTCAAGCCTTTAAAAGCACACAGTGTTTCAGCCAAATGGACTCCTATTCAGGAATGCTGGAGAATCCTTTTCTTCTACTGACCATCAATTCACAAGGCACAATGCCCCCATGAAATTGCCCCTATAAAAAACACAGCCTCCCTGCCCCCAAAATTGTGTTTTGGACTCTGTTCCCCCTCTGCAGCTCAAGTGCAACATTGAAGAATATAATTCGTAACTTTTTTTGTTGTTGAGACGGAGAGAGCGAGTGGGGATGGGAGGGTGGGGATCTTAAGCAGGCTCCATGCCCAGTGCAGAGCCAGTGCGGGGCTGAATCTCATGACCCTGAGATCATGACCTGAGCTGAAATCAAGAGTTGGACACTTAACCAACTGAGCCACCCCGGTGCCTGTGTACTTAGCAACATTAATTCAGCAGTCGAATGGAAGAATAAAGTCAACCAAGCAGCCTTTGCTTGGTTAGAATCTCATATCTCATTGCATGTTCCTTGTAGTGATAGATTCAAGTATATCTATGCCAGGCTGCCTTAATCTGATCTGTCTTTAAGAGTGATTTGTCAGAAGCTGAGTAACTGATGATAGAATAATGTTCAGGGTTCTCTGAGGAACATGAAAACAGAATAAGAAATGCAGATGGGAAAAGAAGAACTCTTTTCCTCCTGTGATTGAAGTAGTAATGCGTTAACTTTGTAATAATTCAGGGTTAAAAACAGGAGGTTGAAGTTCTCCCTGAAGAAAGCTAGAATTTCCTCTGCATTGGTTTTCCTAATGACTGTAGAAATGGTACTCTGATTCAGGTTTGGGAAGCATTTTTTTTTTTTTAATATTTTATTTATTCACAAGAGACACAGGGAGAGGCAGAGACACAGGCAGAGGGAGAAGCAGGCTCCACGCAGGGAGTCCGACGTGGGACTCGATCCCGGGTCTCCAGGATCACACCCTGGGCTGAATGAAGGCGGCGCCTTTTTTTTTTTTTTTTTTAAGGCAGTCTGTGAAGTGCTATTTTGTTTTACATACATGAATTCATTTTTTATATATTTATAAATGTGAAGTTAACATCACTGTTTCTGTCCCAGTGTCCTGTGTAACACTTGGGTGTGGAGTACAGTTGAAGGAGGGCTTAGCAGATACAAAATCTGACGAGATCTTAACTGCTTTGCTTGGGTCATTTAGGTAAACCTAGGACAGTTTGAGTGGTAGTGACTTTGGACACTGCATTTGACACTTTTGAAATACAGCTGTGCTCTTCTTCATTAATGGTATGTTTCTTGTTCTTATAACATTACTCAAGAGGTGTCACTTTACAGACAACTGAATATTCCATAGGCTGTATTGCAATTTAGATCTGTTTACTGTAGTTTTGAGAACACCTGCCATGCCAGATGTCTTCTGAGAACAGAGAATGGAGAGGGTGGAAGCCCATGTCCCTGGTTTGTTTTCACTGACTGGGATCATTTGTAAGCTCTCTGAAAGTTCTTGCTGGCTCTGGTCTCCCAAGCTGTCAGCCTATGCTGTTCATCATATCCTGAATGGCAATTACCTGCCCAATGGGAGAACTGTCTGAAAGCACCTCTTAGGGATGATCTTTCTGTGGCCCGCTAGAGGGCGCGCTTGTGTTAATTCCAGTGAGTGCTTCTGAAAAACGGATAAGGGGAAGTTTTTACACTAGTTACTGAATCCCTGTGGCAACTTACGGGTTGCTTTGCTTTATAAAAGTCAGGACAAAATTAATTTTTATGGAATTTTAATGAAGAGAATACATAAAAGGGTTTACTCAACATTGGGCAACATTGATTTTTGACCATCGGCATCTTAGTTTTTAAGTCAAAAGTTACTGTACAGTGTTATAAAGGGAGTAAAAGCAGTGTGCATCTCTAGGAAGTACTGTAGTCTAGGCTTGGGGTTCACCTACAACCAGAAGATGGTGAGTAGAAAGTGGAGATAGGGGATGTGCCTTTAGATTATATGCAGGTCAGTGTGCCTCCACACTGACCCTGAAGAAGCATCTCAGGTGGTGGAAGACCAAACAAGATCTCATCTGATAGCACATATGACCCCCACTTAAAAATGAAGAAAGCTCATAGGAGCTTAACTATGAATCAGGAATAGGCTTAAGCGTTAGGTGTAAAGCAACCTTTTAGAGAATGGGTTGGACCTTATGAAAGAATGTGGGTCCAGAAATTTTATTTTCAGCATTGAAACCAGTCCTTTGGGTTACCATTTTGCTCATTGTCTCTATGTATGCTCCTCAGGACAAGGAGAGTGTCTCGCCTGTTGTATACCAGCACCTAGAACTGCACTCGGCACATGGACTCAGTAAATATTGAATGAAATTAGTTTGTAGAAATGCATATTAGAGTTCTGATCCAATTGCCCAATTTTAAGCTAAACTAGAGAATGGTGACGCGCAGGAAATGATTAAAGCGTGAACAGAAAGCAAAATCTCCAAGAAGAAAAATCAGGAGAAGATCACACGTGAATAAAGGGGAACAGGGGTGTCCAATGATTAAAGAATGATACTACAAGTCAGGACTAAGGCTGTCACTACTACCAGAAGCCACTGTCTAAAAACACTACCATATTCCCTTCCAGCTGAAATTTGTCTGAAAAATTGTAACCATATAATAACTAGATCACAACACCTGTAGTGTGGCTGTGGTTTTCTAATAACAAGAGTGAGGTCTGAAAATCAGTTGTCTGACATTTGGTGAATGGTTACCCTCAACAGTACAGTGGAAAAAACATGGGCTTTGCAGCAAGATCAATCTGGGCTCAAATGGTGACTTTGTCACATACTAACTAGGCAAGGGGCCTTGAGTGAGTCCAAGTCCCATCTCTGAATCTTCCCTCAGCTGTGCAATGGGGGATGACATTACACGCTTCACTGGGCTACCGCGAGGATTAAATTAGACAAGCCTAACAGTGTAGAGTAGGCGCTGGGATGAGTGGATCTCCTTAGAAATGGGTATATCCCAGGCAGGTGCACTGCCCGGGGGGGGGGGGGGGGGGGGATACCTACAGGGTGACCACAGAGGGGCTGGGCTGCTTCTCAGTTGCAGGAGATGGGTCCCGCCGAGTGTGGGTCTGGGGTGACTGGCTCATTGGCTAGCTCTGTAGGCCTGGTCACCCAGCAATTGGCATTTTCTCGGCTAACAGGGTGTTTTCTTTCTTTTTTTTTTTTAATTTTTATTTATTTATGATACAGAGAGAGAGAGCGAGAGGCAGAGACACAGGCAGAGGGAGAAGCAGGCTCCATGCACCGGGAGCCCGACGTGGGATTCGATCCCGGGTCTCCAGGATCGCGCCCTGGACCAAAGGCAGGCGCCAAACCGCTGCGCCACCCAGGGATCCCATAACAGGGTGTTTTCATGAGAATACATTTATGTCTGTGAAATGAGGTCGTTTCATCCTCCAGGCTCTTTCCAGCTCAGGCCTCCGGTTGCGCCTGGTTTAGTCTGAGAGGTGCCTCACACATGCTGTTCCTTTAACGACTGAGCCTCCGGAAAACCCAAAGAAACCATGAATTCGTTAGCAATATGTTGGGTGTTTTCCAGCCATTTGTTTTTCGCTAGTGATAATATTTATGCTTCCTGGGGAAAAGGTGAGAATTTGGGGAGAGAGGGTAAGGCACCAAAGACCTTGGTTTCCAGGAACCGGCCAAATTTTCTTCCCTCAAGAGGCGGCTTAAGGAAGTACTCCAACTCCGGTTCTAAAACAATCCAATCCGCAGTTTTCCCCTTGCTTTGGCGGCTCGCCGGCCTTACTCCCCGCGCAGGACAGACATTGGCCAGCCCTACGCGAGGCCGGCGAGAGTCCACCGGCTCCCAGGAGGGCGGGCCCGAAGCTCAGGAGCCGGGAGCAGAGGGCAAGAAGTCGCGGGGGCGCCGAGGCAGGGGCGGGCGCCGCGGGACTACAGCTCCCGGCAAGCGCTGCGGCCTGCGCCGGATGCGGTTGGCTGGGAGCTCTAGCCTCACCGCCCTCACCAGCCAATGGGACGCAGGAGAGAGACCTGACCCGGATTCTCAGGGACCAATGGCCGTGCAGGGGAGGCGGGGGCTTCCTCACCACTCACCTTGCGCTCGGAAAAACCACCTTTAAAAGGTCGTGCTGGGCCAAGTTCTGGCGAGCAGCGAGACCCGAGGCGAAGGGCACGGCAGCGCCCCCGAGAGCGGCGCCGGGAGAGCCCGGGTCCCCGCGAGGCGCGCGCCGGACGTCGCCGGGGGCGGGGTCGGGGGCGGGGCCTGGCCTCGTTGTGGAGCGGCTCCTAATCCATCATGGCGGCCGCGGGGGTCGGTGTCGGTCCCTGAGCAGCGCGGGAGCCGGAGCCGGTTCCCGGGTCCTGCGGCTGAAGAGCCCCTCCGCTGTCCACGGCCCCCACCTGCGGGGGGAGGCTGGGTCCCGCGGCGGAGTTCCGGGGATGTGACTGCCTGGCGGCGGCGGCGGCGGCGGCGGCGGCGGCGGCGGCGGCGGCGTCTGTGCCAACGTCCGGAGCCGGGGGAGGGGGTGTCTCGGGCAGAGACCCCCGGGCTCGGGGCAGCTGAGGCGGCCGGGCCTCCTCCCCCTCCGCCCGCCTCCCGCCTTCCGGGCCGCCCCGGCCCGTCCTCCCGTACAGCCCTGCCCCGGCTCTGGGACACTGGGGGTGGTCTCTGAGTTCCTGAGGCGCGGAGGAGCGACGCCCCGAGTAAGCCGCCCGCGCCCCGCCCCCCCGCCCCGGCAGCCTGCCCCTTACCCCGCGCCGCCCGGCGCCCGGCGCCCGGCGCCCGGCGCCCGGCTCCCGGCTCCCGGCTCCCGGCGCCCGGCTCGGCCGCGGAGCCCCCCGTGCACAGCCCCCCGCGCTGTCAGGTGGCCTCCCCTTCCCCCCGCTTGCTCCCGGGAGCCTCCAATGCCCTGACTCCCTCCAATGTCACCTACGGTCGCCTTGGCCTCAGCCCCGACAAAAACTTCAATGCAAAGGAAAAGCCTGGACTGGTTTCACAGGCCTTTTAAAAAGCGGACTTGAAAAGTTGCTGGGCACGCATTCCTTCTCGCCGGAGTCGAGGGCAAGCTCTCGCCGAAGCCTGGGTGACCCGGGTCCTTTTCCGGAGCGCAGGGTAGAGAAGCAGGAGCGGCAGCTTGTTGGGCAGGAAATTTGTTGGAAGACGAAGAAACTGAGATAGGGGGTGACTTCCACGGGGAAAGTTCTGGAGAAGCATCCAGAGACCGTCAACATTTCCTTTATGTGTGGGAATCGAAATGACTTTAGTGTTACCCTTCTACAAGCATCCCTGTGAATGTTTGTTTTTCTTCTTGAAAAGACAGAAACTTACTCAGCCAGTAAAAGACACTTAAACTCAAGAAACTTTTGGGTAGCACTGCAAGTTAGGTTACTTCAGACTGATAAACTGCAGAAGTGATTGGAGCTCCTGTTTACATATGTCCATCTAAAAAACGGCTTCCTTTGGTTACCGAAGATGTCTTTTTTTTTTTGTGATTGACCTCAATTACTGACTCGTGGAGATTGGGTGAATGTGAAATCCCACATATATACTGTTTTCCTTCCAAGCCCACTGACCGTTCTGGAAGATCTTGAACCCTCTTCTGGAAAGGGGTGCCTATCATTACTTTATGGGGCAGCAGCCTGGCAAAGTTCTTGGGGACCAAAGAAGGCCAAGTTTGCCTGCCCTGCACTTTATCAAAGGAGCAGGGAAGAAGGAGTCATCGAGGCATGGGGGTCCACACTGCAATGTTTTTGTGGAACACGGTGAGTGCTCTCCAAGCTTTCTGGTCGTGTTTTTCCGTATGTGTTCAGCCTAGGAGTACGGAAGGGTTTTGTGAACAACAGTACTTGTGTCCAGCTGTACTTAAAAAACTTCTCTGATTACAGTTTTCTCTTAGTTTGTGGTGGAACTTTCTCCGTCTAAGAAGAGGTTACTTGGAGACTCTGGATGGCTTTATTCAAAAATCTCTTTGAGTTGTTTCTTTCTTGCCTAATTCCCCTTCTAACTCTCTGTTGACCTTAGATAAGCCATTTTACTCTTCCAGTTTCCTGAGGAGATTGGACTTAAGTGGTTTCTCAGGTTCAGAGTCCATGATCCTGCTCTAAACCCCAGGCATGGGCTCTGCCGGAGGTACCTGGATCCTTTACTGCTTTATCCACACACAGCTTTTATCCTCTCCCCAGAGTGGCTCGTGCTCCCCAGGAGGTTAAGAACCACGGATCCTAGTTGACACTGATATCCTTGACCTTTTCAGTCATAAGTAGGACTTGATAATACGCCCTTTGGAGCTACGTGGGAGAAGTTGAGTGGGGAAGCAGCATCCCTTGTGAACTGAAAATACCCACCTTCTGGTTATTTTACCTTACACAGGAGTAATCGTTTCCCCAGGAATGGAGCCTTAGCCTCCCCTCTCCCTGCTTCAGGAGGAAGGATTTGGGGCAAGAAAGGTTGTCTTTGATATTTTTATGAACATGGTTGGCATTTGATTGCAGACAGTATGTGCTAAACTGTACACTTCCCATAATTCTATGTGAGGTTTTAAAGCTAAGGGCCAGGGGATCCCTGGGTGGCTCAGCGGTTTGGCGCCTGCCTTTGGCCCAGGGCGCGATCCTGGAGTCCTGGGATCGAGTCCCTCGTGGGGCTCCCAGCATGGAGCCTGCTTCTCCCTCCTCCTGTGTCTCTGCCTCTCTCTCTCTCTCTCTATGTCTATCATAAATAAATAAATAAATAAATAGATCTTTAAATAAAATAAAGCTAAGGGCCAGCCCTCAGCCAATTAATTAGGGTCCTGTTTGTACTGTTGTAGCCTGACATTTTTTCAGACTGTGTACTTTATATTGAAATATTGATCCCACCCACTCGATAAGCAAATGAAGGATGAGTGCAGGTGGCGTATACTTTGAAATTCAGTCTCAAATGCTTAATGCTAATAATGGCTGACCACAATAAACAAAGGTCTCTGTTGCATAAACTTGCATTTGGCTGTTGAGGTTTTACTTACAGAAGAATATTTACCTCATCTAAATGATTTGAGTACTTGAATAGTATTTTTCCTTGAAATACTAGTTACATTTTAGCACTGCTTTTAGGCAGATATGGAGATTTGTTACATTATGGTGCTTTCCCAGTTCAGGATGTATAAAGTAAATTATTTACATTTTTAACTAGTGATGATCTTGCAGCCTTAGATAATGAAAATTGATACAGACTTTTTGTAGAGCTTTGGCTAAACTTATCACAACTTAAAATGCGTATACAAATAACTCAGTAATCTCACTTCAGGAAACTTCTTGTACAGAACAGTATATAGTTCCATAGGTGTCCCTGATACCCTTTCAGAGAAGGTTGAGAGGTTAAACCTGTTTTCATATTAATGCAGTACTTAGATGTTATTTGCATTCTTTGCACAGATAGTGTAGAAGTCACTCAGACTCCTTAGTGTGAATTGAGGTTGTAGCACCTCACTGTACTAGTAGCCATGGTGTTCATGGATACGCTCATAAATAAATAAATACATGAAATAAAAATTTGTTTTTCACTTAAGAATGTCCTTGATGAAGCAGTAGAAAAGATTAGTTTTATTAACTGTTGACCCTTGCATGGATTTTTTTTTTTTTGGTACTCTGTAGGTTGAAATGAGAAGTACAGGTAAAGCACTTCTGCCGTGCACTGAGGTATTACAATTATCTCTAGGAAAAGCAGATGGGCAGTTGTTTGAGTTGCAAGCTGTACTGGCTGCTTTTTTTTATGAACTATCATTTTTTCTTGAACTACCACCCACAAACAATGGTTATTCGGGCTAAAAAAGAGTATAAAGGAGTCTTTCAGGGAAAACAACTGGTAGTATATGTTGCCAGTGATAAAATTTTAGCTTTCCAATGAAAATTAGGATTTTGGAAAACTTGTATCTGCTATTGTGATGTAGAGATTAGTTGTGATATTTAAAAATGTGATATTTTGATGTAATGAAATGTATTATTCAGAAAATCTGCATAATCTAATACACCAATGTTTTCTAAGTGATCAATACATGACTTTATAAAATCACACACAGGTAAAAGATATATCCAAAGTGCAAGATGGACCATTGGATTTTAATGTAACAGAATACAGAAGTTCCTTGATACAGTTTTAGATTCTACATCACAACTAGCCTTTAAGAAACTACCACTTACAGGGGATCCCTGGGTGGCTCAGCGGTTTGGCTCAGCGGTTTAGTGCCTGCCTTCGGCCCAGGGTGTGATCCTGGAGTCCCGGGATCGAGTCCCACGTCGGGCTCCCGGCATGGAGCCTGCTTCTCCCTCTGCCTGTGTCTCTGCCTCTCTCTCTCTCTCTCTCTGTGACTATCATAAATAAAAAAAAAAAAAAAAAAAAAAGAACTAAAAAAAAAAAGATTTTTTTATTTCTTTATTCATGAGATACACAGAGAGAGGGAGAGAAAGGCAGAGACACAGGCAGAGGGAGAAGCGGGCTCCATGCACCGGGAGCCCGATGTGGGATTCAATCCTGGGTCTCCAGGATCGTGCCCTGGGCCAAAGGCAGGCGCCAAACCGCTGCGCCACCCAGGGATCCCAAGAAATAAAAAATCTTTAAAAAAAAAACAAAACTACCACTTAGAGAGTTTTGGTGTAGCTTCAAAGTCTATAGTTATCTAAAAAGGCTACTTTTTGTGGAAAACAGTTATTTTCTAGTACTAAAATTGTTTTTAAGTGAACAAATAAAAATTGACATTTAAATTTCTGATATGGTAAACATTGGTGAGATAGCCTATATAAATAAGAGTTCGTTGGAGGTCCTCTGTAATTCTCAAGAATGTAAAGAGGTCCTGAGATTAAAAAGTTTGAGAACTGCTATTACAGGGGGTCTATCACAAAGGCACACAAGGCTGTTTTTTGAAGGTGAACCGTAAAGTACTAACCCTGAAAGGCGTCCAGGTAGTGGTAAGTGGATAACAGCAATTTGAAGATTAGTTAGCATGGTATGGGAATTGGGATTTAGGCGGAAGGGGAGAAAACTTGCACTTTTTACTTAGCATTTATGATTTCTTTCTATGACAAATTTGTGTGATTTTACAATGCAAAAAATACAGCGATATTGAAACTGAATTGATGGCAGCACAACCAGATAGTCACTTCTTTGCAGCAGTTTTTTATGAAAGGATTTGTCTAAGTCAGTGAGTTTTACTGAAGACAAATCAATTTCTTGGACCTTAGGTATTCTTTTTCTAGGGCAACACAATTTTATTTTGTGTTACAAATTGTTCTTGATCTTTTACAGGGTGATCTTTCTAAGAGTTGGTTAATATCCATATAGGTTAGAATAAAAATCTTTCAGTCATAACATAGAGTATTGGATCAAACATGAATCTGGAAGCCAAAGATACTGTTAGATGAGGGTGACAGTGGTGAATCTGGAAGGAGAGGGCAGATGGCAGTTTTTTTTTGCTAGGATCAGTCAGAGTAATAAGGGTTTGTCATGTGTACAGAGAGAAAAATAAAGGAAACCATGATATTATTTCCTGTATCGTATGTTCCTTCCAAATTTCATGGCTTGACTCAAGAAAATTCACTTTCAGGAGAGTTGGTAAAAAAGGAATAAAGCATTCACTAGTAAACCTCTTTTCCTTAGTGTTTCCTTCTTTCTTCAACAAATATTTATTGAACTGTGTATCAGGTAATGTTTTAGTCATTGGTGATACATTAGCAAATAAAAAAGGTCCCTGCCCTCTTGGAATTTACATTCTAGTGGGAGGAGACAGAACATAAATGAGCTACATAGGTGAAATATAAAGTATGTTAGATGGTAGCAGGTGCTGGCAGAAAAATAACGTAGAAAAGGGGCACGGGGATGTTGGGAGGTGTGATTTTAGTTAGGGAGTTCCTCCTAAGAAAGTGGCATTGGGAGGGTGGTGAGGGGACAAGCCTTGGAAATAATGGGGTAAGAGCATTTCAGGCAGAGAGAATCAGGGTGCAAAAGCCCCAAGGCAGAGCTTGTTTAGCTTGCTCAAGTTGAAGCCCAGGGTGGTTGGAATGGAGAGCAAAAGGAGAGTTGGT